CACGATGTCGCGTGCGCGAACTGCATCTCCGGGTGGATGGCAGCAAATGACAAGCGATGGACTTAGAGGATCTGGAGTAACCCACGGTAAGAGTCGATCCAGGTGCTGTCTGAGTTGACATCGTGCTGCAGACATGAGCATGAGCACCCTGACCTAAGGGACCTACCCAGAGCACGCTACCAAGGGATGGGACTTCTCTTCATCTTGATCAGCACCGAATCAAACAAATCAGCACGTCACTTTCGTTTCCCCGCAAACTCCCCAGTCCCGGACATTCTCTTGCCGTCACCGTAATTTGATGAAACGCGCTGCGTGACCGTCAAACTTTGCTGCTCTCAGTCACGACGGCCTCACCCAGAGTGGGTCCTCGTCCACATCGTATGATGCATCTCAGCGGAAGAGTCTGGAACACACGGAGCGAATTCTCGGCTGACTGTGATGACTACTACTATTATTAACCAATATGCACACGTAAAAAAATGTTGCCGTGACAAAAGACCAACGAAGTATCTGGCGTCAACCATCCATTGACTTTCATTTCGCTTGCCCGGCCCGCCTGTCCCCTCGTTACCTCTACCCACCCCCTCCGAGCGCCCACGCTCAGTTCACACACTGCGAATACCACTGGTTCTGCGCCCGGCACGTCCCCTGCGAGCAGCACTTGGCCCCGTTCCACCCCTGCCCGCCGCACTGCCCCCACAGCGCCGCGCAGTTGCCCCCCGGCGGCGGCACGGTCGGGGGCACGCCGGGCGGGATCGTAGGCGGGACACCCGGGCTGGGGCCGGGACCTGGTCCAGGGCCTGGCGGCGCGCCGGGACGGGGAAAATCGACGGCCATGTTGTGGCCCGTCTGCTTGTCGCCGTAGTAGACGTCGGGCGGAAACTTGTTCTGGCTGACGCAGTTGGGGTTGCAGGCGTCGAGGGGCCCGGAGCGGCCGCGCGTGTAGTCGAGGACGAACTGGTCGTCGATGCACTCGGGGAGGACTACCGTCCGTTTGTCAGTACGAGCTGCTGCTTTCGTGTTGGATGAACTCGATCTCGCGAACATACCTTTGAGGTCGTTGAAGGCCATGTTGCCCAGGTAGCAGTCGCGCATCTGCGTCGTGTACGGCGTGTACAGGCCGTTCCAGTTCCAGTACCAGTTCCTGTGCGGTGCGTCAGAACCTTGGACTCTGCAGCGGAGAGACTATGAGATGACCTACTTGTTGGTTCGGTCGGCGGCGCAGCCCAGCATGATCAGGGCCCCTACGGGCGACGTCTTGACCGACTCGGAGTTGGTGTTCGGGCAGCAGTAGCTGATGAGGGGGCCGGGTCGTCGTGCAGTTGAGAGAGCCCAGCACGCCCGAGGCGGCGGCAAGGAGCAGAAGGCTAGGCTTCATCATGGGCGAAATGAGCTCGGTGTGTGATCGGAACTTTGTTGGCGGGTTGTGTCGTTGGGTTGGAAACCATCGTCAACTTCCACCTGGCGCGTCGACCTTCTCATTTATACACGCGGAAACACTACGAAAGCCCTTCTTGAACGCCTTTCCCTTCTACCCCTCGTTTTGACGTGTCACTATTGCCCCTTCGACCGCCAGGTTGCCTGAAAGCAGAGAGGAGAGGCTCTCGCCAAGCATAATTGATGAACAGTCTCTGAATATAAGCTTCCCTCACCTATCAGTTTGCTACAAATAGATGAGCGCGACAGCGACTTGGGGTATCTCAAACAGCCTGCATCGGCTAAATCAGTTCAGTGCCCGGCTATGGGGCTGTAGATCTATCTTGGGGATGGCTTCGGTCATCTTTTGCTCGACAATTGACAATCAGTACAATCAAAACCCTTTGGAGACACTCGTCTCCGATGCAAGAGATACCCACGAGAGAATGCTAAAGAAACCCATCTCGTGCCTCCAGTCCCTCTTGCGTCTCTCTCTCTCTCTCTCTCCCGAGCCGCACGTGGGGGGTCGCCCTTGGCAAGATCTCGTTGACTCGGTCCCCAATCGCCCGACTCTTGGCCGTCTTGACGATGTACGCCCCGAACGCCACGGATCACCTTGGGCGGGAGATTTACTCCCCCTCATCCCTGGGGTGTCCACAACTGCCGTGCCAAGCCACGGATGCATCGGGCATTATCGCTCGGCAGAGCACAAACGCGCGACGCCAAGTGGCCTGCCAGACGTGCCAATGCTCTCTTCAGACACCTGGACTTCGGAGACGGATGTTCCACGGCTCGAAAGGACGGCAGAAGACCACTGATTGCCCGGTTGAATGCACTGCAATCTCCCAAATGTCCATTCCGGGGTTCCCCTGAGCTCCCCCCCAGGTCTTGCTGCTTCCAATGGGTGAACAGGCTGGGATGAAGCGACCCGTGGGGGGGGGGGGGGAAACCATGTTTTCCAAGCTTAGATACAAACGGCGCCACTACGGTCCTTGACCGTTGGAGCCGCTCATCTCCCGTCTTGGCCAGGATCGGCATCCATTCTCGCCGGCCTCGCCGCTCGTCATTGACAGGACAATCCCCACCCTTCGGCTAAAAGCTCTGTCGACAGTCGATTCCCATGACAGACATCCCCGGCCATTTGATGGTTCACAGCAAATCACAACACGACAGGGTAATCATCGGGTCGCCTTCATCGCAAACCAGCCCTGGCCGCAGCTGGACGACCTGGGAGTGGTCAGAACGTGGCCCTGACTCGTGGTGACGATGAGTAGTGAACGCGAGACATCGGCCCGACGTATGGTGTTTGCGGGGACATAGACCAAGAAGGTCGGGGTTTTCCCCGCGTGGCTCGAGAAAAACCTCCACAGATCCAACCATCGAGCACAACGTTCGCTGGAGCCTCTGGGGATCATGTGGAGATACTCCGAGATTCTCCGCACTCTGCCTAGGCCGAGATCCGTTCAACAGCCCTCCTATCAGCAGTAGGCTGCCTGGCCAAGTTTTCCAATTCGTCCAACAGAGCTACATCATGGCCCCGAGCTTGCTTTCGCCCCGCCACCGCCGGTATCCAGTCGCGTGCCTCCGAGCTCCACAAGACGATGCTCGGTCTGGGGACTTATCGGCCCTGCTTGGAGATTTCGGTCTATCATGAGTCGTGACGTGTTGACGTCGGCGGGGGAAACCATGGCCAAGATCTGCCTCTGCATCGTACTGGTTTGTCATGACCTACATCGCAGCTAGGGCTCATAGGAGCTGTATTTGGACTACGATGCTTGACTACACGGAGATCGTCAACCTATATAAGGGTCACGTCTCGCGCTGTAGACGGAAGCCGAGGAACATGCACACAGCACCAGCCCAAAGCCTCAGCATCTATCATGGCCGCCTCCCTTGCCTTGATCTTCTCGAGCCTCTTGCTAGCGCCCGGCGTTCGCGCTCAGGCGTATGACACGCAAGATCGTGGCGAAGATGCCTTCAGCTATGTTCAGCCTCTGAACACAACCATTCTTGGTCCTTATGGACACTCTCCCGCCGTCCTGCCCTCACGTGAGTCGAGGAACCATCTGTAAAATCTTACACAGGCTGACAATATCTAGCCAATGCCACTGGCGCTGGAGGCTGGGAAGATGCCGTGGCCAAGGCCTGGAACTTCATCGATCAGCTCACCCTCGAGGAGAAGGCTGACATGGTCACTGGTCAGCCTGGGCCCTGCGTCGGCAACATTGTCGCGATACCTCGCCTTGGCTTCAACGGCCTCTGCCTTCAGGATGGACCCCTGTCTATTCGTGTCGCCGACTACGCCAGCGTCTTCTCGGCCGGTGTGTCGGCCGCTGCCAGTTGGGACAAGGGACTGATGTACGAGCGCGGCCTCGCCATGGGCAAGGAGTTCCGCGCCAAGGGCGCCCACGTTGCTCTCTCCCCCGTCGCTGGTCCTCTCGGTCGCTCTGCCTATTCGGGCCGCAACTGGGAGGGCTTCTCCCCCGATCCTTACCTCACCGGTATCGGCATGGAGCAGACCATCCAAGGCCACCAGGACGCCGGTGTCCAGGCCACGGCCAAGCACTGGATCGGCAATGAGCAGGAGACTCTCAGGAACCCGATCTACGACCCCAACGGCACCCTTACGGACGTCACCTTTGAGGCCCTCTCGGCCAACATTGACGACCGGACCATGCACGAGCTCTACATGTGGCCGTTCGCCAACGCCGTCCACGCCCGCTGCGCGAGTTTCATGTGCGCCTACCAGCGACTCAATGGCTCGTACGCCTGCGAGAACTCCAAAGCTCTGAACGGCCTCTTGAAGGAGGAGCTCGGCTTCCAGGGCTACGTCATGTCGGACTGGGGCGCCACCCACTCTGGTGTTGCCTCCATCGAGGGCGGTCTTGATATGAACATGCCCGGTGGCCTTGGCCCCTACGGCATGACGCCTGAGGCTGGCTCGTTCTTCGGCGGCAACGTCACCACTGGTGTGAACAACGGCACCATCGATGTCGCACGCATTGATGACATGATTCTCAGGATCATGACCCCCTACTACTGGCTCGGCCAGGACGGCGACTTCCCCAGCACCGATCCTTCATCCGCTGATCTCAACACCTTTTCTCCGAGGGCCACGTGGCTGCGCGAGTTCAACCTGACCGGTGAGAGGAGCCGCGATGTGCGCGCTGACCACGCCGGCCTCATCCGCAAGCATGGTGCCGCGGCAACTGTGCTGCTGAAGAACGAGAACAAGGCTCTTCCCCTCAAGGCACCGAAGTCTATTGCCGTATTCGGCAACGATGCCGGCGAGGACACACAGGGTTTCTACAACCAGGCCGACTTCGAGTACGGTACCCTTGTGGCGGGTGGTGGCTCCGGAACTGGCAGGCTCACGTACCTTATCTCGCCTCTCCAGGCCATCAAGGAGCGTGCTGCGCAGGATAACGCTCTTGTTCAGCAATGGCTGAACAACACCCTCATCATCAACTCCAACGTCACCGATCTGTGGGTGCCCACGCCCCCTGACGTCTGCCTCGTGTTTCTCAAGACGTGGGCCGAGGAGGCTGTTGACCGCCAACACCTTGATGTCGACTGGAACGGCAACGAAGTTGTCGAGTCTGTGGCCAAGGACTGCAACAACACAATTGTCATTACCCACTCGTCCGGCATCAACACCCTGCCCTTCGCCAAGCACCCTAACGTCACGGCCATTGTCGCAGCTCACTTCCCCGGTCAGGAATCCGGCCACTCGCTGGTCGATGTTCTCTACGGTGACGTCAACCCCTCGGGCAAGCTGCCCTACACGATCGCCAATAATGGTAGCGACTACAACGCCCCGCCGACGACTGCCATTAACACCACGGGGGTCTACGATTGGCAGTCGTGGTTCGAGGAGAAGCTCGAGATTGACTACCGCTACTTCGACGCCCACAATATTTCCGTCCTCTACGAGTTCGGCTTCGGTCTGAGCTACACCACCTTCGAAATGGCTGACCTCCAAGCCGAGCCCCTCGCCACCGACATTACCTCCCGCCCCGCCGACGTCCCCATCCTGCCCGGCGGCAACCCTGAGCTGTGGGGTGTCATCTACAACGTCACTCTGTCCGTGTCCAACACGGGCGACGTCGACGGCGCCGCGATCCCGCAACTGTACGTCAGCTTCGCCGACGGAGCCACCCCCGCCGGCACGCCCGTCAGGCAGCTGCGCGGGTTCGAAAAGGTGCCGCTCGCCGCGGGTGAGACCAAGACTGTGCATTTCGGACTTATGAGGCGGGACCTCAGCTACTGGGACATTGGCGTGCAGCAGTGGCTCATCCCTGAGGGCGAAATTACCCTCTCGGCGGGCTTCAGCAGCAGGGACTTGCATGAGGAGGCTACGATTACGCCTGTCCAGGCTTAGAAGGGCTGGGCGTATTCCCTGTCTGGAGAATGGCAGGGTGAATACTGCATGACGATCACGAAAGCGTTCATATTTAGACGTAATTTATAAGCTTCTTCCGATGTGTTGTTGGCTTGCCTCGGCGACCTGAGGCTTGCTCTATTTCGTAACGTATTGTTCACAAATTCTCGGTGTCTACCTTCAATTGGGATCAAGTTGGCGCATTTCCATAATGTCATGATACGTGATATACATGGGACTATCGTACATCGCCACAGTCAATGGACACCACCTTAGCTGTGCCCGCCTCCATGACCACCACTGTGGCCACCACCGTGCGCCGTCGCGCCAGCATCGCCTCCCGCGTTCATCGTGTGTCCGAACCCCCCAGAGTATGTGTGATCTTTTCCGTGATCATATCCGTAATTGTATCCATACGTGTTGCCGTAGCCGGTCCCGACCGGCGCCGTGTTTGAGTCGGCCCAATTCGGGTTGGCGACACCGCCGGGATGCGTGCCAATGCTGGATCGGTTGTCGGGGAGCTTGTACTTCACAACGTCCTTGTTGATACGGGCCTTCTTTGCCCTGCTCCGGTGGATGCAGCAGCAGACGCCAATGCAGAAGGCGACGAAAGCAACAGCGCCGAGGACGATGACGACGATGATACCGGTACTGATGGCCCGGCTTGTGTTGCGGACGTCGTTCTCAAAATCGTCATTGCTGCCAAAGCGTTGGCGAGGCTTGAGGATGCCAGCAATCTCGTGACCAATGGCGGGCATGGTGGTTGATGTTGCTTTTGGGTGTTTATATGAAGGTCCAGATGAACAAGGATACTTTTTGTCTTCGGCTGAGTATATGTGTTGTGCTGAAACCGATCGCAACTCGACTTGTGGTGTGGTGAAGAACCTATGATCCCGACAACGACAATTCGTGGCATACCCAGCCATTTATCCTCTCTCCCGCAGCCTTCACTGCATTCCCTTGGGATTGCAATGCATGTCTCACGCCCACCCAGCAGAAGAGCACCGCCTCGCCAAGGGGTGCTGGCAACGTCATGATCGCAAGTCTCACGACCAGACTTGTACACAGGGCTGATCGGAGGATTACGAGAGGCTCGATCAATGCCCTTACACGGCGTGGCGGAGAGGCACAGCAGTCCAAATCTGGTTCAGTAAATCCTATGGCGGTGGGCGATTCGTCGGACGGCGCGACGATCATTCCTTCGCGGGCACACCAGCGGCCAATTGATGTCATGACCAGGGGCCAAGAGGCCAACGGCCAGACCTGGGGATGATCGGCACCCCTGTTGCAAAGCTCTTGTGAATAGGCGGCCTCAAATTAGCAGCCCTCCCGCGATGTAGGTAGCCCAGTCAAGAATGACCCAAGGTGTCCTGCTGCCTGAACAAGACTGACTAGTAGCCAGCTTGGCTCCTCGCGTATATGATGACGTTTAGCAGTATTCCTTATCCAGCACACTGATTGCCTTCGACACACGACACACACGCAGCGCGGGTCCTGATAGAGGAGCTTCTACGAAGAAGGTCAAAGAGCAAGCTGATACATGAGCGACGCCGCGTTCGAGCATGTATTCAAGTGCTCTTGGCAGCAAATGCTGCCATCAGATACCTACCCATGCAACCGCACCATAGTGCCGGGGCAGGGCAGGAGAAGCTTTCAAACTCCTCGAGTACAGACAAATCTCCTTCCTGTTCTGATGGTCGAAGCGCCCGGGGAGTGCAGTGCACTCTGAGGTATTGTCAAAGCCCATGAGACCAATCATTCCTATATTCAACGTATCGTCGCGCACACAAGGAACCACTTCAAGCTGCATTTAGTCCTCAACGTGCTCTTATGTACCCGACAAGTTTTCCAAATGAAAGAATAGAACTAATTACAAAAAATAACCGCTAATATTTGAAACCGATCAGTAAACGGGTCAGTTGTGACGCATCATCCCAGTGCCATGCGACAGACTCCGAACATCCTAGGGGTTTTGAATACTCTGGCATGGCTGTCACATGTTTGTCTCCAATCAAATCATCGTGATTCAGCCCGTTATATCCGTCTTGCCAAAAGCCTAGGCGGCTTTGGCCCTAATATGATGAAGGCTGAGTGCGTAGTGACAATGTTTGGCCATACATAGTTCACTCATTGCCATTGGCGAGCGCCGTGACTGGAAGGCATCAAACAGTTCATTCCCCTCCAGTCGCTCAACCCCTGTGCATCCAACGCACCGAACAGAACTCACCTTCGTGCTCGGCAGGATGACCAGAACGCCCCGTCAGCAGGGCATATGCCAATGAAGGCACACATTCTCATGATCTGAATCAACTTCTGGATGAAAATAATGGCCATTTGCAGGATTCTAGCAAGGTTCGTACGTTATGGTGGCTATGGCAATGATATCTGGCTGATCCTAGTGACGTTGTCGTTTATTCCGGGGTAGGATTCTGCCTGAAATCCTCCATCTCCTTCTGGTTGGACATGTCCAAATTGGAAGTATGACCAAGACCCTGGCATTATCACTGGTCATAAATCTCGATGCCTCATCGCTGCAAGAACGAGGAAGTTGGTCAATAGGACACTCGGGATGCTCAAAACTATTCAGCCCTTCCCAGGCGTCAGAGGTATAGGCTGCGGATTAAGACGAATTTGACTACCCATGACAGGCCTGGTTTCGCAAACAGTGCAAAGTAACAACCAAAGTAACAACCCGAATTTGCTCGATGCAGGCTGTCTCGTTATGAGCCTTGCACCGTGTCTTTTTAAAACAATGTCCTCTCGACCCTCGAGATATCACGACAGTCTTCGGAAAGCCGTGTTCTACAGAGCTCAGGGATTGCCTAGGCGCTTGGTCCGGCTGTTCCCGCTCTACGCACTGCCGAAATACAACTAAGAACCGGGGTGGATTGCATTCATGGGCAGTTTGCAGTCAACTGAGGGGTTGGTAGTAATTACACCCATTCACGTACTACTTCGGACCCCGGACACGGCGTTGCAGCAGCAGAAACCGAGCCCACTTTGCCGTGTGCGAATGGCCAGACCAGCTGTATAGTCGAGTGCAGAACTTTGCCGACACGAAGGACTCGAACCTTCCCTATCAAAGACCCTTTGACCGAGAATGACGACGTACCGGTTGGCACTTACATGCTGAACCACCAAGGTGCCGAAAGGAAAAATTGCCTGAAAGGGAAAGGAGGATGACGCGAGCTTATCAAGCAATTCCAAGAAGTTAGCATCGCACTGCCGGGCGGACATGTACGCTTTAGCTACCGGGACGATCAGGCCCACCTTCTCTTTTGAGTTGAACGAGGCTCCGTTCGCGCCCCGGGCTGGACCCTGGCACCTCGGTTATGTCGTCAATGCCGCTTGCCGGTGATTGGATTCTCATCAACTTGAGTTTGATCCATCTTGCTGTTTACAGGCTGTGTAGCCGGGACACGGCATCATCTAACTCATCTATCTCAATCGGCTTGGCATGGTACGACGCTCCAGGCACCAAAAACGTGGCAGATGAGGTGATAGACGAGATTCCACACTGCCCCCACATGGCCCACATGGGCTTCTCGATACACCTCCGGCATGGCTCGCTTCGGCCTGTTCAGATGGATTCCCAGCATCCCCATGCGAAAGATCATGTGGTTGACGTCGTAGCCGGCTACAAGGTTCACGCCCAAGTGCCGTCCCACTCCAGGGGTTCTTGGATGGCGTCGGGAAGTTCGCACGGCGATGGCCTTTCGTGCTCCTGGCCCTGCTTTTGACACGCTCAAGCCTTACACTGTCATTTGTGCTCAGCCTCATGTAGAGCCAGGGAAAACAGGGAAGAGGGGTACGGCAAGGGCCAATCTCACATGCGGAATCTGTACATAAACCAGCGTGGTATCTTGACCAACTTATCACTGGACGCTTCTCGATATCCTCACCGATCTGCAATCATCAAACTACCATTCGACATGCATATCGCGGCTCTTCTGGCATTGGTCCCCCTTGTGGCAGCGCTGCCCTCAGCCGAGCAGCCTGGTCTCAGCCCCGGGTTAGCGTCGTCTGATGTGCACCGCCGATTTCCCACGACCCGTCAGGAGGATGTGTATGACTACATCATTGTCGGCGCCGGCGTCGCCGGCACGACGCTGGCTAACCGCCTGACGGCCAACGGATGTTAGTAATGGTCCGACAATGCTTGATTCGACACAACCACTCACAATAACGTGCATAGTGTTCCGAGTTCTGTTGCTAGAAGCCGGTCAGCTGTAAGTCAACCATTATTTCGTCACATGGTTGAACACAACTAATATCGAACAGTGATGACCAGGAAGACCTCATTACAATTCCCGGCAACGGCGCCAATGCAGCCACCAGTAAATACAACTGGAATGTGACGAGCACGCCGTCCCCCGCCACCGGCAACAGGTCGATTGCCCTGCCGATCGGACGTGGTGTCGGAGGTAGTAGTTTGATCAACCAGATGGTCTTCGTCAGGGGTTCTTCTGGTGATTTTGACCGCTGGAAAGAATTCGGCAACAGTGGTTGGGGCTGGTCTGAGATCTTCAAGAACCTCAAGAAGGTGAGCAAGCTTGACAGGCTGCCGTTGGATCTGGCTTACATCGTTCTGACAACTTGCAGAGTGAAATCTTCACCCGTCCCAACGCTGATGTGGCGCAAGAGTTTGGCGCGACCTGGGAGGCCTCGTCTCGCGGCACCCAGGGTGCTGTTCATGCCAGCTACTCCCCATTCTGGTGGCCAAGCATCAGTAAGTCAACTTATTGAGCTACGCCCATACTTCGCGTGAAGCTGACTCGCCCATCAGAGAACGTAGTGGCCGCGGCACGAGAACTCGGCATCCCTATCCTGAAAGACGGATACAGTGGCAACAATGCTGGTGGTTTCTTTACCACGCACTCCGTGAAGCCTGTGGAGAATACACGAAGCTCCGGACGTACCGCGCACTACGATGTCGCGGCGAAGAGGCCTAACCTTAAGCTTATCCAATATGCCCATGGTTCGAAGATCCAGGTCGAGCGCGGTCAGGCTGTCGGAGTCGAGGTTTGTGCGATCTTCTTCATGAATAGCAACCACAAGACTAACCAGCCTTCAGTATATCGATACGCAGACTTCGACTACCAAGGTCGTCAAGGCTTGGAAAGAAGTAATTGTTTCTGCCGGTGCGGTTTTCTCGCCACAGATTCTTCAGCTTTCAGGCATCGGCGATGCCAAGGAACTGGCAGCTCAGGGTATCAAGTCTGTTGTGAACCTCCCAGCCGTCGGTCGCAACCTCCAGGATCACCCACTTGTTGTTGCTGTCCATGCCAGTACGTTCCATCCCAACAAGCTCAACGGTCTAAGGGCCTCTCGGTATCAGAACTGACTAGTAACAGTCACCGCGCCTCTCAGCAGCGCCACCTTTCCGATACGACCTTCGCAAGCAAGGCACTCGCTTTATACAAGAGCAACCGCACTGGCCCGTATGCTAATGCCAACGCCGAGTTCATCATGTTTCTACCCACATCGACTTTCAGCTCCCAGCCTGCCGCGCTGCGTCAAGCTGCTCAATCTCAGACCGTTGGCCAGTTCTTGCCTGCTGATTACCCTGATTCTGTCCGCCAGAGCTTCGCCAAGCAGCACAGGCTCCTCACTGCTGGCCTCTCCTCAGACGCCCAGACACCCCTCGAGATCTTCTGGAATGAAGGCACTATTGTCTCTGGAGTGCAACACCCATACTCCCGGGGTTCCGTGAAACTCGTGTCAAATAACCCTCTGACGCCGCCCGCTGTCGATCCTGGCTATCTCACCAATCCTCTTGACCTGGCAATCATGGTCGACGGCTTCAAGCTCGCGAGAAGAATTGCCAACACTACCGCCATCGCGCCACTCTCTCCCATCGAGGTCTTCCCGGGACCGGCCGTCGCGACTGATGCGGACATTGAGCAATACATCCGCCAGAACCTCGCTACATTTGCCCACTATGCTGGCACCTGCAGCGTCGGCCCCCAGAACGCCGGCGGAGTTGTGGACTCTGACTTCCGCGTTTACGGTGTCAAGAATCTCCGCGTCGTCGACGCCAGTGTCATCCCGCTGCTTCCCGCTTCGCACACGTCTAGCACTGTTTACGCACTCGCCGAAAAGGTACGTTCACGACCTCTGACGAAACACAAATAGCATGCTAACGACACTTCTTCTCCAGGCCGCTACCGCCATTCTCTCGGGCGTGAGTACTAGGTCCTCTTGCTTTCGAGGAGCTTGCTGACCACAATATCAGGGCTCGTGGTGAAACGCAATGCGTCGGGGGCAAGAACTTGTGAGGTGTAGCTTGTGTTGTTTGATTGAAACGCAAGAGGTCTGATGGTGCTTCGATTTAGGGCGTAGCGCTTCAGTGACGATCAAATTGAAAATCCAGCATTGATATTCAGTTGTGAGCCATGTCCGACTCAACCTTGCTATTGAGGAAAAACTCTTTGGTTTCGTAGTATTTGACATAGAGTCATGGTAAGCCTTCCTTAGAACGCTAGCCCTCGAGGTCAATTCCGATATCTGCAAAGGTAGTCTATCTTTTCAGTAGAAGGAACTCAATCGTAGCTTTTTCGACTGCGAAAGAAGCATGCAACATAGTTCTCGCTTGAAGTTTTCCTCGCAGAGAAACGAAACTAACGTTCACCATGTGTACCATGCGAAGAACGAACTCTCAATCCATGCCTATTATTGGCAAGCAATATATCCCAACCTCTTGATTTTGGCACTTAGAGATCATAAGGTCCGTGCATCGGATGGCAGATCAAGCGTTTCGGGGTCCTCAGCCGAGAGAACCGACGATAAGGGCGAAGCTACGGGGTGAGAGACCGGCAGCCGGAAATCTCGTCTTCCCGTTCGGGATTCTTCAACATCTTGAGAGATTGCAAGACTCCGACTTATCACAGCCATCGCCAACATTGATCAGTAATGGATGAATTTCTTGATACCGACGGCAGAGATGGACGCATTTCGGCGTCTCGGAAGCCTCGGAAAGATTGCACTGGCGGCAGGTCATTGAGCTCTTTGGCATCCTGGACAGCTGATTGAGACGCATGTGGTATTCGTGGTAACCTGGCTACTAGCAAGAGCATAGCCCGATGAATTATTGCTTGCTCGTCCATCGCCAGGGCAGAGATCATGGCAATGTGACCGATTTCTTGGCGAAGGATACCGAAGCGGTGGTGGTGCTGCCGCGACAAACCTTGGAGAGTTCAGCTAGGGACCAGGCCCAGACGCATAATGCAAAGCCCCACCGGTAATTGACCTCGATCCGAAAGATTGCAACCAGATCCGAATTCACATACAAAACGGCATCGTTCGGTGGAGAACTACCGAGAAGACAAGGGGGTGCGGCGACGCGACGCGAGGCGTAGCACGGCACTTGTCTGTCCTCAGCGCTGGGCCTGCCGGGTCAGTGCTTGGCCTCACAAGTCAATAGAGACACGCCAACCCTGGCCTCGTGGCTTGGCTGGCGGCAAGCTTACCCCTCACGAATCTTCACGAATCCTCACTCTCCCTGAAGGTCCGTCCCCTCTCCAAGGGCTTCCCCACACGCTTTCTTCCCCCACAGACCACATATTCCCCAGACCCCACAGTCTGGAGTAGCTGGAGTGCTCGCCTTGGAGGGTACGGCAGTGGGACGACCACGAGGTTAGCTATAGCGCGTTTGGGGTTATGGACGTGCCGAGACCAGCGGCTGAATCTGGGGCAGCATTGGGACGCCATGCCAGAGAGGACTCAAGTATAACTCACACACATCGTCACACTCAGTACTCGAGTTAATTCCTTTGCTGCCAAGTTCGAGCATCATTCGGTCGTGGCAACCCAGAGCTTTTTTCACTGTTCACAAAGTTATCAACGTTCACCATGTCGAAAGACGGCGAAACCACGCAGCGGCGCGTTGAAGACGCCAATGCACCTGTTCAATATGACCACCAGGATGAGCCAGTCAAGGTCGGATGGAGAGTCTGGGCCGCAATCTTTGTGAGTTTTTCTAGATATTGAGCCCTATTCGAATGACGAGCGAGTCGATGCAAAGGCTAACAAGCTTGCTTGAACAGTTCATGGCAGCCTCCTTCGGCCCCGGCGTCGCCCTTGCGTTCGTCGTCCTAGCAGCAATCGTTGTCCAGGTCAGTAATGATCTGGGCAACGACGCGCCGTTTGCCTGGATCGTTGGCGCTTGGTCTCTTGCCACCGCCGTCTCCTTCTCGCTTGGTGGACCTCTTAGTGACATTTTCGGCCGAAGGAACATGATTCTAGGTGGTCAATTTGTCGTGTTGATTGGCTCCATCGTTGGAGCAACAGCGCAAAGTGTTGCTGCCCTGATCGCGGCTGAGACAGTTATCGGTCTTGGCACAGGGTTTATCTTTGTTGCCTACGCCGGTGTCCCAGAGATGCTGCCTAACAAATGGCGAGCCGTCGGCGTGGGTATTCTGGAAGGTGGAATCACCGTGCCTTGGTACGTGGAGTCATCCTCCAAGTTTCAAACTCACAATGGAAGGAAGAGTGGCTAATCTATCAACGTTCGCTATAGGGGTGTCGTCACAGCCCTCATCGCCGGCGTTCTATACAAATATGCGACGTGGCGCTGGATCTTCTATATTGGCATTATTACCGAGTGCATATCTCTCGCTGGAACTGCCGTCTTCTACTGGCCGACAACCCATCCGAGGGGTGACTTCGATAAGACTCGGTGGCAGCAGTTTAAGGAGGTCGACTGGATCGGTATCACGTTATTCACCCTGGGTCTAGCAACGTGCCTTGTTGGCATCACTTGGGGGGGCACGCCTGAGCATCCATGGGATAGCGCTAGCACTCTTACGCCCATCTTTGTTGGTCTCGCCGGCCTCGTCGCATGCTTTACGTGGGAGTTCAACTACGCCAAAGACCCACTGTTCCCCCTCGAGCTCTTCAAGATGTGGCGCGGTTTCACTCTTCTCCTGATCGTTCTGTTCATCTCAGGCATGAACTTCCACTCGCTCTCGGCTTTGCTGCCTCAGGGTTCGCTCTTCATGTTCACGACCGACCCCATCGAAATTGGTGTCATCTCGCTACCGATGAACATTTGGAGTCTCTTCCCTGGCGTCATCATCCCTATGCTGGCCCACAAGATCGGCCACCTCAAGTGGCTCATCGTTGCAGGCGCAGGCTTCCAGGCTCTGTTCATCGGTGCCGCTGCCGCCACCGTCAATCCGAACCACAGGCTTGCCTGGGCCTTCGTTCCGGCGATTGGTGTTCCGATGTTCCTTCTCTGCACCATTGTTGGGTACGCTGTTGCCAGTCTCCACGTTCCCCATGCTCACCTTGGCGTGGCCATGGGCCTTCTCGGAACGTTCCGATCCGCAGGTGGTGCCGTCGGAAACGCGATCTTCAACACTGTCTTCCAGGACAAGTTCACCGACTACGCAGGCGAAGAGATTGTGAAAGCTGCCCTTGCTAGCGGTCTCAACCCCGCCGACCTGCCTGCCATCATTCCTGGAACTATAACCCACAACCTCGGCATCCCAGGCACTCTCGACGGTATCGCTGGCATGACGCCCGAGATCCAGGCCACCCTCCGAGCGGCAGTACGCCTCGCCTACGGCCGCGCGTTCCAGTTTGTCTTCTACATCACCATTCCCTTCAGTGTAGTTGCCTTCATCTGCTCTCTGTGGATCAAGGACCCTCAAGAGCACATGACCAACCATGTCGCGTCGGCCATGTTGTCTAGGGGTGCAGAGAAAAGGATTCAGGGTGACGGCCTTGGAAGCTCTGATGTGGAGGTCGCAACCGTTGAGGATAGGCGCGAGCCTAAGACGATCGGTTGATCAAGGCAATGCCACCTCGACACTATTTTGGATGAAACATGGCTGGTTTAGGAGTGGTTCACTCATGTGTTTTCTTGTTGTAGTCTACGGACAAGATTGGTCCGCTATGGAAATCAAGCGTGGCCTTAGATTTCACGTAGTGAAATTATAATTATCAATCAACCGCTCTTGCAATTTCGGGTGTGATCTGGTCTTCACTTCCTTGCCACGGCTACCATGTTGAAGCAAGGCAATGAATCCTTCCAATGGTTCACAAACCCCTTTCTATTGCATATTCCCAAGTTTCGAGCGATTCTTTAAGTTTTGCACTATGCATCACGCCAGTACAATTGTGTCATTTCCCAATGCTCAAGTTGCTCATGTGATCAAACCAGGGCAACACGCGTCTCGTTTCGAAGCTTGCGGGCGGGCGTCCAGGCCAAGATAATACAGCAACGTGCCCCAATACGAAAACCATATCATAGCCCCACTGAACTTTATTGTCTACTCATTTCATGTCTAACTGCTACAGAGCCGGGATATTCAATATTAAACTCCGAGACTTCTACTCAATGCAGTCACAGTATCCACCATTTGTGTACTAGCTCCCAAGTAGTTCTTGGGGTCACACATCTCCTGCAACTTCTCGTCTCCGAGCAACGTAACGACCTCGCTATTCCTCTTCAAAACTTCGTACAAAGTGGTCTTTGTCTCTATGGCAGTCTTGCACGCCTCGTAAATGATATCGTGGCTGTTTTGTCGGCCGAGGTGTGGCGCCAAGCCCATCATGACAGCTTCAGCGACGATGAGACCGTCTGTGGAGTTCAGGTTGTGAAGAAGGCGCTCCTGGTCAACCGTCATGCCGGAGAAGACAAACTCCGCTTGATGAAGGGCTCCAACAGCAAGGACGAAGCTCTCAGGAACGGCCACCCACTCGAGATGCCAGGGACCCGAAGCTCGCTCAAAGTCGGCGACCATAGAGTCCAGGCCCAACCCAGCGTTCGCGCGCAGCAGTTTGGACGCCGCCAAGATGAGCTCGCTTGAGATGGGATTTCTCTTCTGCGGCATGGTCGAAGAAGCGCCGCGGTGCGGTACGAAAGGCTCCATGACCTCACCCACCTCGTTGGAGGACATGATGATGAGATCCAGCGCGACCTTACCCAGCGACCCTCCTATCAGGGCAAGCGTGTTGATGATTTCGGCGACACCGTCTCTCGCGACGTGCCACGTCATCGAGGGGTCGTGGAGACCAAGGTCCTCCGCGAGCTGCTTGCGCACTTCGATGCCTTCGTCGCCACCACCCAGAGAGGCCAGTGTTCCGGCCGCACCACCGTACTGAACAAGCAGACAGCGTGGTCGCAGTTGCTGTATGCGCTCCAGATGCCTCTGAAGGCCGCTGAGCCAAGATGCGCACTTGTAGCCAAATGTGACCGGAAGAGCATGCTGCAGATGGGTACGTCCAGCCATGGGTGCATCCCGATACTCTTCGGCCAGTATGGTTAACGCCTTGATGGCGCTCCGCAGCTTGGCCTCGACAAGATCAAGGCCAGCCTTCATCTGCAGCATTGACGCGGTGTCCATGATGTCTTGCGTTGTTGCGCCCCAGTGTAGGTATTTGCCAGCCTCGCCGCACTGGTCTGAGAGTTGTCTGATGAGGGGTAGGATGGGGTAGCCGACAATCTCTGTTTCGTTGGCGAGTCGGTCATAGTTGAGCTTGGAGGCGTCTGCTGTGGAGGTGATGGCTTCAGCCGCGGTTTGCGGTATGACATTGCATTTTGCTTGCGCCCTGGCCAACGCCGTCTCGACATCCACGCAGCTTTTGATGTAGGCTTCGTCGCTGAAGATCTGCAACGGAGTCACATCTGAGGTCAGTTTCTTGATTGCTGCCAGTGCTTCGTGTACACGAGGCGAAATGCCATACCTTTCGAGCTTCGTCTGTGCCAAACATGCTTCGATAAAGTACCGAATCAAGTGCACTGACACTGCCCAGAAGGCGCCTGGGAGGTTGATTCATGCTAGGCATGGATCGTGCAGACACCCTTGCCATTTGGCGAGTGACTCGTTGAAGGGCATTCATGGTTGTGAGAGATAGGTGTTTCTAACGTCTAGAGAAACCTGGTGAACCTCCAGCGGTACCATAGGCTTGCTGATTGCAATTGAGAAAAGATTGGGGGAACTTATGGTGACTAAACACGGAGCTCACCCCACGTAGAACATTGCAAGGGACATCGAGAGTGCCATCCAACGAATCAAGAGCACGAGATGATTGCCACTTCATGCATCCGAACTCCATGTGGGAGAAGTCTCACATGTAGACTCCCGGGGGGCCGGGTGGTGGAGAGGCTCTAACACCACCGTACGCAAGCATGGTGGGGCCGGAATGTGGGGATACACATCTCGACAGCTCCCCACGCTCTCTCCTCACCAGCAGGCGTTAGCCACCTATGATCACGCTTTGGTGTATTGATCATGTTTAGAGATGTCTCGTGGCAAGGAGGAGGAGTACGAGGAGATGGATTGACCCCACACAGTGGTCGCTGCTCCCCAACTTCGGGAAGCTGACCCGAGTTGTCTACATAATGCTCTATAGCACTTGGAGACATCTAGCTCCCAAAAGATAGACATACCAAAGCACTTGAAGAAACAGCCTAACATCATGACTATTGAAGAACGGGTTGCCGCCACTGATCCTCAGAAGATCTTCCACTACACTGATCTTCAGCGATCAAAACCTACTCGCGCCAACGATCCCTACGAATATTTCGCAGGATGGAACAATAGGCACCAGTCCGAGGTAATTCCCGGAGCTCTACCTATTGCACAGAACAATCCCCAAGACCGAGGCTTTGGCCTTTACACGGAGGGTTTGACGTCGTCTTTCTTTGCGGCTCCTCGACATGCCAACCAGAATACCTACATGTATCGCGCCAGGCCGTCAGCAGCGCACTCTGGTTACGTCGACCTAGCAACGCGGTCAAACATCGAGAACTGCTTCTTATCCCTCAACACAAAGGTCGAAACAATCCCGGCGCAGGCAGAATGGAAACCATTTCCCCTGCCTGCTGCCGATGACCAGATCGACTTTACCGATGGACTGCAGACACTAGCCGGCAGCGGTGACCCGAACCTGCGCGAGGGTGTCGCCCTGTACGTCTATGCCTTCAACAAAAACATGCCCGGCAAGGCTTACTGCAATATCGATGGCGACTTCCTTCTCGTGGCCCAGCTCGGGAATCTCGAGATTCAAACGGAAATGGGAAGGCTCTTCCTTCAACCCGGAGAGATTTGCGTCATCCAGAGGGGCATCCGGTTCCGCATCGACTTGGCTGCCGATGTTCCTGTCGCTCGCGGCTTCATTGTTGAGGTCTGGGGCTCAACATGGGAGCTGCCCGACCTTGGCCCCATTGGAGGCTACGGTCTGGCCAACGCGCGCGACTTCCTGTATCCGAAGGCTCACATTGACGAAGACCTTCATCGCGAATTCACCATCGTAGTGAAGAACAATGGAAAGCATGTCGGCATTAAGCAGGACCATAGCCCCTTTGACGTGGTTGCGTGGCACGGTAACTCAGTGCCTTACAAGGTAAAATTGTCACGTCTTCCGTAAGATCATGAGACATGCTAACGAATATTACAGTACGATCTTACAAAGTTTGTGTCGCAAAACGCCACGTCAGTCGACCACACCGACCCCTCCATCAATACCGTTCTAAGTGCCAAGTCGAGGGACCCGAACACTTCTCTTGTTGACTTCCTCTGGTTTGGCCCTCGCTGGGACGTTGCATCGAACTCGCTCCGCCCACCCTACTTCCATCGTAACTCCGCCTCGGAGTTCCTGACCTGCCTGTATGGCAAGAA